ACACAAACAGAAATTATGGATCTTACTGTCTCTGAATATCATGCAGTTCATTTGTGGCTTCACTGAGACCCTCATTGACACCACTCTCAAGTAATTGTTTATGCTTCTCTAACAATTCCAGCTCATTTGCACATTTTTGCTCCTCTTCTTCTGCTTCCTGTAAATGTCAGGGAGAAAACAAAACATTACATAACAGATCACATTTTAGGAAAGAAATAGTGTATTATTTTTTCCCCTATATGTTATTCATCCCAATACTTGAATTAGAAATTTACCACACAAGCAGCTTCACACACAGAACTCAAATTCCCTTCAGAAAAACAAATGGGAAACCACAATAGAAGTCTACCTCCTCTCTCCCCAATTCAACCTTGAAGTTTTCTCAAGTTTCTTTTTTGTTTTGTTTTTCATTTTCCTCTACTCAAAGTCAACCTAACCTTCCCTTATTTCTCTTACAATCTTTCTAGGTCAGCGTGTTAAGCTATTTTCCCTCAAAATTAATCTAAAAAGAGATTACTTATAGACTTTCTGAATAGTTTATAAATGAAACATCAGAAACAACAAAATAATTTTTGACTAAAAAAAAGGAAAAGACTTCACTCTTGATTTTGAAATGTGTTTAGAAAATGCAAGCAATCATCTATTAGAGCTATCATCTATCTGAGCTGTTGGAGTAGGACTAGAGAAGGATCAGAAAGATGATCAAAGCACAGGGAGCACCTCTCTTACACAGAAAGGCTGAGGGAGCTTGGCTTTTTTAGCTTGCAAAAGCAAAGACTCCAGGGAGACTTCATTGTGGCCTTCCTGTGCTTGAAGAGAGCTTATAACCAGGAGGGGCACTGACTTTTTACACAGTCTAATAGTAACAGGGGAATGGTTTTAACATACAAGAGGGGAGATTGAGGTTCAGTGTTTAGAGGAAGTTCGTTACTTGTAGCGTGATGTGCTTCTGGAAAAGACTGCCCAGAAAAGCTTTAGATGCCCCATCCCTTGACAGAATTCAAGGCCAGGCTGGATAGGGCCTGGGCAGCTTGATCTAACCCTGCTCATTTCAGGGGGTCAGAACTGGATAGGAGTTCAAGGTCCCTTTGAACCTAAGCCATTCTGTGATCTATCCAATGCAAATATCATTGATAACAGTATATTTAGCAGAATGAAACCAAATTCCACCATCATTAAACACTTAATTCTGGTGAATTTCTGAAACCTTAAAAAATAACTGTGCAATAATAAAGTCTAATGCATATTACTTGAAAAATTACAGGAGAAATTAATGACTGTATTCTATTTTAAATATCTAGTTGCTATTGAGTATTTTATGAACTTGTCTTCAGAAAATATGTTTGCAATTACTTAGGTCAAAAGGTAAATTTCAGGTATTTTTGAAAGCTTTCATTTAAATCAATCCACCCAAGCAGTGTAACTGCTGAGTGGAAGCACATACAAGAGGAAAAAAAATGTAAACAACTTCACATCAATAATGTATTTTATATGCTATTAGTTACATAATGCTTTCCTCAATTTTTAAATGTGGTAACAGGTTCATTACAAACAGTTAGTATATTTGTTACATACAAGGCATAAACATGGCAGATACTGTAGAATCTGTTTAAAACACATGCACTGAGACATCCTGAAGTCAGGAGATGGACATGGCGACTTTTATAACTGGTTGTAGCAGTTTATGAATTATTTACAGGCTCTGAGAAAGTATGATACCAGATTATGTTAAGTGGAAGCTGACTCTTAAGATAGCACTCAAATATTTCTGAATAAGAGAAGATTTCATTTTCTGCAAGAGCTGAGAGCAAAGTTTCAAGCAAACAAGCAAAACAAGTTCTTACATATAAATACAAGCCTTAAAGATAATGTTATCAACAATAAACTGTTATTAAAAATACAGAAAAGTTCTACCTTAAGTTTCTGATGGTAAAGATCATCCAGCTTTTCTGCTTCTTCTTTCAGTGTTTTCACACTGCTTTTCTTCTCCGTTACCATTGCATTCACCTGAAAATGTGACTTCAGATATAATTCCAAAGGAATTCCTACCTGTAACTCCATGCCATCACAGACAACGTATGGCAGCCCTGAAACACTTTGTTAATCCAGGTCTGGCCAAGGTGACATTAGCTTTCATCATAGCAGGCTGTATTGCATTTTGTTTTTAGGGAGTAGGCGTGAGTTTGGGAAGGCACGCAGCCATGACAGCTGACCATGACTAGCCAAAAGAGTATTCCATCCTACATGCTGTAATGCTTTGTGAGAAAAACTGAGGTAGGAGAAGAACAATTTCATCTTTTTTAAGCTTCCAAGGTAGCAGCTGTTCAGAGACTGGCAGTGCATTGGTCTGCCTATAGGGGGGAAAAAGGGGGGAGGCTTACACCATATCTGGTGCACACAATGCCAATAAAAGTTTTTGCACTATGTGTAAAAGATCTTACAGTGGAAATGAAAATTCTACAACAGTGGGTTTTGAATATGCAGCTCTGGATATGCAAGTTATTTATATTAGTACTTTCCTAAACCGTATTTTAGTACTTCAAACTTCAGGTTAATTTCAACCAAAACATACTGACTTTGTCTAAATAAGAAAAAAAAAAAAATACAGGGTTTTTGAGAATCCCTGTATTAAGTTCAGCATAAAAATTAGACCATTAAACACTTGCTGATAATGTGTTGTAGGATTTTGGGTTTTTTTTTTTTTTTTTGTGTGTGTGTGTGTGTGTGTGTGTGTGTGTGTGTTCTAAGCTATTGACATGGAAATGTGTATGTCAGCATGCTATGCAACATGAAATTCTTCCAATCCATCCTGAACCCAATATTGCTAAAAATTTCCCCAATTACTTCTTATCAGTGGTAATCCACTGACTGTAATAGACAACTTATTAAACAAGTCTTTCCAATGTTTATCATCAAATATACGTAACTGCATAATCTTCAGCACAGGGAATATACATTATTTCATCCAACAGAAGGAGATCTTAAGTCACACAAAAGCTTTTAACATTCCAACACAATTAAATCAATCTTCTCACTACTTCCCCCTCCAAAAAAAAAAAAAAAAACCACACAAATAGCCTGTGTAAAATGGTCAGATGAGTCCAGCAGATAACATTACAGGATCTTAGTACTTGTCTTCTTTAAGCAAAAAACATACCTGTTCCAAAGTGTCCTCTAAACTCATTTTCCGCTGAACAGCTTTCCTAATTTCTTCCTCCGTTTGGTTTACAATCTCCATAAGAGGAGCCTGTTATACACATAGAAGAAAATCTAGATAATGCAATTTGTCAGCTTAAACTAAAGTTTTTTTTCTTCTACACTTTTTAAACTTAGGCTGCTGTACCCAGCAATATCAAATTTTCTCCCTGTACCACAAACGTAGTTATAACAATCACAGAAGTTCTCAATGAAGTTTAATGAGGAGTTCCCAACATTCCCCCAAAACACTGAAATTTTATTATGAGTGGTAATAGACACTCAGTGTTGATTTTACTTACCTTAATCTGAGTTCTGTATTTGACTAGGCAATTTGGTCCTGCCTCGGGATTAAAATGAATCTCGAAGTCATGCCCTTTAGAATTCTCAGCACTTATTGGAATTAATTTCAGCTTTCGAGCCAGTTTATGATACTCTGCCAGTTGTGTTTCAATCTGTTTAGAGATTAAAAGGGCAACAGTCATGGAAAAAATACAACTGAAAAGCTTTGTGAAAAGCATTCATATAGTACTTCAAATAGGTTTCTGAGTTGTTCTGTATGTTCCACAGTAATGGATGTTTTCTGATTCTTTCAGAGCTTACTCTGCAAGATTACTTAAAGTGTATGGGTAAGACTAAATGGTTTCCTCCTGTGGTTTTCTCTCCTGCTGCATTACTTCCTGCATCAGCATTTTGAGGATTGACAGTGGAGGAGAATGAACATGTACTATTTCTAAGCAAGTTGCCAAAACAATAATTAGTCATCATGTTGATGATTGTTTTTGGCAGGAAGTATCACATAGTCACATGTTCTAATAACATACTTGAACTTGAGTGTAGCTCTAGACACAGCTTATTAAATGCTCTATTTTCTGACACAAGAACCATCTATATGCAAATATAACTAGAAAAACATTGTTTGATATGTGCTTATATTTGTATGGTATGAGGAATTTAATACCAAGAGCAAGAGAAAGCACAGCTCTGCTAAATGAAAAATAAATGTGTTTTTATTTCAAATATCTAGCAGAGCAGCAGTTTTTAAATCCCACCACCTACAGGGCCACATTTCTTCATTCTATATAAGTGTCTCTTAAACTGTTATAATTTACATGCAAGGCACCAATCTGTCTCTAAACACATGCAGACATTAACTCAAAGCACTAGTCTTGCATTACTTCTTTGCTCTAAAGTCCCAACATATCTATCTTTCAGTCTAACGTTATTGAAGCTCTTGATGCTGTAGGAGTCAGAGCTTACAGTGGTGCATATTCTAGCCATTCTTTTCACTATCAAGATACACCCATGTTGTTGTTAAATCATTTAGAAAAAGTTAGTAATAGCTCAAGTCCCAAGCTTAAAGACACGTCATGAATACTGATAGCCATCTCTCATTGCGGTAGGGTAGGTAGGGTTTTCACATACCGCCTCTTTATTTCTAGCATATTTTAGCTCTTCATTCCACAGTTGATGTTCTTCTGCTTCGAGTTCCTTAGTTAGCTTATTAATGGTTTGCTGCAACTCATTTCTCTCGTGATTTATTCTCTCAATATCCGCAACTGAGTACTTTTGGTTATCAAAGATATGCTGGAGCCGTGCATTCTCCTGCTTCATTGCTTCTACTTCCATTTCTGTTTTCACAAAACATTTGTAAAAATGAAGGTAAAAATATCAAACTGTACAGTTAAGGCTCACCTCCCAGCATTTTTTTTAAATGAATAAATTTCCTTTCTCTAGAATATAAGCAGTTATCTGCCAAAAATTTTCCCTATTAGCAATTAATCTTGGAGTTTATTTGTAGCACCATCATACACAAAGTCATCCCTGAAGCTAAGAATTAGAAACTATTTTTAAAATCTGTTTCTGCCTTCACTAAATATTTGTGACCAAGGCCACCTTACCTGCTGCCTCAACTTCTTCATTAACCCCTTTCATCTTCTGATCAAGGATGGTTGTGTGAGATTCCAGATTAGCCAAATAAGCCTGGTATTTCTGAACATCTGCTTGAAAAGAAGATCTCAGCTTTCGTAGCGATACTAAACGATCCTAGCAAATGAATGCAAAGAACAATCACTGCAGTATTAATCTAAAATAATCATCCTCCTTTCCAGACAAAATGGTAGATTACAGTCAGTATCAATAGTATAAATATACAAAAAGAAGTTCATAATTCTCTGTAACAGCTGACACAAGTTAGACTTCAGAATAGCAAAAGAGGCTGAAAAGATGGTTCGTAACTTAGTTGTTGTATTTCAGTATTTCAAACTTTTGATTTGCGTTAAGCACTGCATAAAATGTTCTTACTGCAGGTAATTCACTGCTTAAGTATACATTATACATGTATACAGTATACAAAAGGCAGACGAAACAAAAGGATGAGGAAAGTAGGAATACAACACACAAATTTTGCACAGTAGACAGAACTTTCAGTTTGCTAGCTGTACACATACAGTACCACTTTTGTTTATGCTGTATTAAAAACAGAAGCCACTTTCTGAAACAAAAGGCTTCTCCGGAAATATATTTTTACTGTTTGCTACTACTGAATTCTGTACATCTTTGGAAAAGATAGCACTGAAGTTCAGATAAACTGTCTGAAGTATATTATTAATATTTCAGTCAGTGCAAGATCTTAGCTGAAAAATATCTGCTCAGTATTAAACAAGTAGTGACTCCATAGTAAAAGCATTCTACTACAACAGCATAGTCTGTAATAACCAAGTCTAATTAGAATACTGTAAAATCATTAAAGAGATGAAAATTCAACAACTGAAAATTCAAACCCCTCATACACACAAGGACAGACAGACTTTACTAACCGGCTCACTTTCCCTTTCTTTTTCTAGTCTTGCAATTTCTTCATGAAGTCTTTTGTTTTCTGCTGCTAAGCCTTCTATTTTGAACTCATCTACATTAAATATATCCTCTAGCATGGGAAAGAAGAAAGAATGAGGTTATAAATCAATCTCCGCTGTTTGTCACCACCTATTCAGAAAATCTGAGTAATTGCCTTACCATTGGCATAGTGAATACCTGTTACCAAACCGATTGTTTTAATCTGAAAACAAAAACAAACCTACCTGAAAGACATCATTACAAAATAAATAGGCAAAAAACAGGACAAAACAAACAGTTCTGCTGTCATATAAGAAAAATAATTCCCGTAATGTTAGATTCCAGAGTCTCGTAAGACCCACACAACAGGATAGTTGTTAGACAAGTTTCCTCTGTTTAAGCTTCATAAGTTGTCTTATTTGAATACTCCTTTCCTCATCGTGAGCTTTCTTGCATGTTGAAATTTTGCTTACTTCCCCTCAGTCTTTTCCAAACAATGGTACAAATAATTTTTTTCGTACAAATATGTGGTAACTGTCTCATAATATATGTTTCTTTTCCAGTTGATGGATCCTTCTGGCAACGAGTGTGTTCTTAGTCTGTTTTCATAGAAGAGCTTTGAAAGCAGGAATTATTTTTCCCTGCTTGTTCTCATATGCTGTTTATGTTTCCTTAAGTGATGAAACATTAAAAATTTTCCAGCTCACTGAAGCTAAACACAGATGCATGCTGAAGCATATATGGAAATCCTCACAACAGAGTTTGGAACTTCTACTGCTTTCAGAACTTTTCTTAGAATTATAAAAGGTGGAAGAAAGACACTGAAGTCATCTAGTCCAACTGTCAGCCCATCACCATCACGCCCACTGACCATGTTCCTCAGTGTCACATCTCTCTGTTTCTTGAACACCTCCAGGGATGGTGATTCCACCACCTCTCCCTGGGCAGCCTGTGCCACGGCCTCACTGCTCTTTCTGAGACGAGTGTTTTCCTAATATCCAATCTGAAGAGCAGCTGAACTTTCTTACTCTTCAGATGAGCTGTCTGTTGTCTATTTATTTACTTTTTACAAATACTTTGTCAGAAACAAGGGTATTCATGCAGATGGAATTTGCACCTGAGGAGCTGCTTTTCTGTTACAAAACCATTGAAAACAATAGTTTCACATGTACATCTGACAGCAGAACATGACCCATCTGTCTGTATTGTTAACAGCGCATGAAAAAAGAATTAAGTCAGTACAGTTGAGGTGCTTGAGAATTCCACATTTCTTTATCTTAGATCACTTTTGCTTGAAAATTGAGGAAACCTAATGCTAGGAGGAAAATAGCCTAATAACAAAACCAAATACTTCATTAAAACACAAAAACTTACTTAATTTTGACTGCACTTCCGCATCCAATTCTTCGTAAGTATCTCCCCCTTTCATGAAGTGCTCGTAGCACTTTACAATGTAGTCCATGAAAAGCTGAAAACAATTTCAATAGATTCCATGAAGGCTCAAAGAGCTGTAAATAGCTCATCTAAATATACTCAACTAATGGAATTAAACAACTGATACAATACATATCTCTGGTTTGGCTGTACTACTTTTTTTTTATTTCATTAAACAAAGTCAGAAGATAGTATCAGGGCAGAAGAAGGTATCTAGAATTCACATAATTAACAAACTTCTACAGACACTCCATACATTTTTCTGGGATACCGATAAAAGATAGTAGATAGAATATTTAATAATTGCCTTGAAACATATGATACTCTGAAGCTACATAATATAAACAGTAGCTCTGTTTAACGTGCCTTTTAAGTAAACATGAACTTCATACTCCAGATATGAGTATTTTAGAGAATGACTTCTACAATTAGATGAAGGTTACTCAAAAATAGTTTGCTGCAGGTATTCTTTCAAATCTTTTTTTTTTTTTTCCTTCTTAAGTAAGAAACAAACAAACAAACCAACCTGAAGTGTACTAGCAGAATATCCCTTCCAAAACATAAATAAAACTCAAATAATACTAGTAATAGATAATAAAACAGAAAGCAAGCAAGGTGCTTGAGATGCATCTTAAAAATTTAAATATTAACACCAATTTTAAACAGAATAAATATGAATGGGAGTTGTATTTATAATTTATTTTACAACCTTTACACTGTACTGCTGCTAACTGTAGGAGACTCAAGTACTAAAGGGAGATAACCTGAGGTTTTGCTAAGACTATAAACAAACAGCACAAAGAGTCCTTTCTCCGCAAAGGAGAACATAATAATAGCAACTGGGAGAAGGCAGCATTTGAGTTTAACACCCAGCCTCAACTGGTCAGGATGTCTGTCAGGAAACTAGTTGATAAAGCTTTTTATATAATGCTATTTCTCCTAGAGAACTCTGAAAATATGAAACTGAACAGAATATACAACCATAGTCCAATTCAATTTATTCTACCATATTTAGATCATACTGTTTTCTTACAGCATATGGCAAAATTCAGTTGAACAGTTCTGACAATATTCACTTTTTCATAGTACCTTGTTATGTACAATTCCATCATCAGTTTCTCCTCCCCAATTCTGCCCATCGTCAAATGAAGATGGATTTTCCCTCATGGCAGCATACAACTGAAAGGCACAAGTGTACATACATAGAACAAGCATGAAGACCTCCATTCATCCTGCTGGTCAACATTCTCAGCACAGGATATGGTTGGCCTTCTGGGCTGAAAGCGCACGTTGCCAACTTGTTTTGAATCTTTCATCAACCAGTAACTCCAAATTCTTCTCCTCAGGGCTGCTCTCAAGCTATTTTCTACTCAACCTGCATCTGTGCTTGTGATTGCCCCAACCCAGGTGCAAGATCTTGCACTTGGCCTTGTTGAACTTCACGAGACTGGCATGGGCCCATCTCAAGCCTATCCAGGTCCCCCTGAATGGCATCCCATCCTTCTAGTGTGTCAACAGCACCACTCAGTTTTTTTCCTCTTACAGAAATTTATCCAGTAAAAAAATAATAATAATAATAATGCCATAATATAACATTAAAAAAATCAATTTAAATTCACTAAAAGTATGAGCTAGCTAGCTAGCTCCCAAGAGGCAAGTAAGAATACCTACCTTTTCCTTCACATAAATAAAGGAAACTGTAAAAACACTATTAAGACACCTGCAATTAAAATTCCAGTTTGAAATGTGGAAATATTTGGTTTAAAGAACTCAGATGCTACCTTGAAACAGTCAGTTAACCAAATCAAAGCTGCCACAATCTGAGGCCAGGTGTGTGGTGCTCCCACTGTGTACATGGAGCTTTTTGACAAAGGAAAAGGGTACCTACAAGAGAAAACATTTTTAAATGCTGTGCAGAATGAGCAAGTTTTTACATTAAGATCAAGCCACACAAGGAAGAACAAATTCAATTGTGCTTTACACTGTATGTTGAGAGAAGAAAAGGAGAGTTCTCATACCACAGGACTTTATTACATTATCATGGGTTTCCCATTATGTAATTCACGAAACTGTATTTTTTTTTTTTGCATATGCAGAGATTAGGAATAATTAAGGCCTCTTACAAAAAAAGCATGGTTTTTTTCAGTCAAATCTGAATAAAGAAGACAGCCCTTTCTCCCTGGTTTTCATAAAGAATCCTTAGATTTGTCATTTCTGGCTTTACTGCAGCTGTTCAGCACAATATATAAATAAGGATCTTACCCAAGCTCTTTGAAAACTCGGGGAATTTCCTCTTCGAATTTTGAGTCAGGCAGTTCATAAGAAGGGCAGAGAAAACCATAGATAAAAGTGAAGATTTTTACAAAGTCTTTTACGGATGGAGACTGCAGTGATTTTACGGTGACATTATGTGCGTAACCATTCTCAACAAGGAACTGGGGAAGAAAAATATATGCATATTAAATGGCATGCTAGTCAACAAAATCTATAGTTGAAACCATCAGAAAACCAAATATTTTGAGTGGTACTTTTAATGCCTAATGAGCAATTTCATAAAATAAGTTAATGAGTTACCTCACAAAGCTGTTTGATACACTGCTGGATGAATGCCTTGTCATGAAGTGGCCTGGGATCCTTGATCTTTTCTGTACCAAACATACCATACTGACTGTTGCGTGAACCTCCAGCCCCACTAGTTCTAGGAACAAGAAATAAATACATTTTTAGAGTTCTAAACAGAGTTCTTGGTTACATACAGATCCTTACATTTGCTGGTTTTATATATTTTTTGCATACGTCATGCAAAGGGCTAAACTGAAGGCAATCCTCTAAGTAGAAAGAGGAAAGAACAACATCCAGCCATAGAAGTCATGATGCCCACATAAAACAAAGGGATTACTACATCACAGCTGAATATTTTCTTCAGTTTATTGAAATAAAGTTTCACAGAGCACAAAAAAAAAAGAAGATAAACCAAAGGTGAAGAAACAAACAATCTAAGTTGTTGAAACTGAGGATTAAAATACTCAAGGAACGTTTAGAAGAACTCTGTGAATGAAATGAAAGAAGCTACCTGCACCAAAACACAGAAAACTGTCAACTAAGATGATATGATTTTGTAAGATTTTCATTGTACAGGGAAAAAGAAACCAAGGCAGAGAGTAATGCTGATTTGATTCCAATTTCACAAGATTACTACCTGATTTAAGCTTAAGTTAGCATTTTTTTTTTTTTTTTCCTCATTTTTTTTCCTCTGAATTGAAAAGACAAAATAGAGGTAGGAAGTCAGACTAGCATTGTTAGAAAGCTTTATCAATATCCGCTAATGAAAACATCTCCCAAGTCTGTACTGAGGGGGACATTCTTCCTTAAACAGGCCAATGTCTTGGGCAGCTCTTAAGCATTGCAGTGCATGTTTCTCCTCTTGCATTCCCAAGAGGAAGAACAACTATTTAAGCAGATCCTGCTCCACAGCATTGTTATTTAGTGACCAGAGTGTAGGAAGGCAGACCTGAATGCTAAGGGCCTCAGATCCATTTTTCCCCGTAATGAAAATGTAGCAAGAAAGTAAAACTGTAAAATGCTATGAGATTGTTTTAATTTACAGCACATTGATCTGAAGCTATCAATACCTCTTCCCAAAAAAGCTGACTTTCCTTTCTGAAGTTGCAGACGTAGTTTTGCTCATGCTCAGCTTTCCAAACGTTCCTCTGTCCTTCCTGAGAGATAGGGAGAAAGATTCAAATGACTATTTCTACCATTTCATCTTTTGCTTACATAAGAAAGGTATAAACACATTAATTAAAGTCTAACCAGCTTCAGGACAGCAGTATCAGCTGATTTTAATGCATTATTTATCCACTAGTAAGGCTATTTCTGCCAGTTTTATTAGTGTACATTTTATACACCAAGTACCCAGCCACCCCCCAACCACCTAGCAAATATGCAAGAAAAAAACATTATAATGTGAGATGTGTCACAGGCACATAAGTGAAGTTTTAGATTTCATAGAATCATATCACAGGGTTGAAAAGGACTGGGTTGAAAAGGGCAACGATCATCTAGTTTCAACCCCCTGCTGTGTGCAGGGTTGCCAACCACCAGACCAGATTACCCAGAGCCACAACCAGCCTGGATTTTAAATTATATGCTGACCATACTGCATAAACACATAGATGACAGCAGATTGGTCATTTAAAGGTCTTTAAAAAAGAAAAAAAAAAAGACAAAAGCAAACAAACAAACCCCAAGCCAACTAACAACAACAACATAGTATTTTTGAGAACTATAGAGTTTTAAACTCACATTCACTCAACCAATAAGTTAAGCCAGAGATTTTTGGTGGTTTTTTAAATTAATTATCTTTATATTTTGCGCAGAATGTGAGCACTTATGCAGAAGTCTTTAGCTGCAGAGGATTTTCTTCTTACTGCTCCCATCTTTTTCAGATGCTACTCGCTGCAGTAAAGCCACCGAGGCTGAGGTCTGCACACGTTGTTAGCGACATGACCATCGCCACTTACATTTGAGGCGTCTGAAGACCCATCTTGTTGCTGTCCTGCACTCTCAGCACCATCGTAGACTGCCGACCGCTACTCCCACAAGTGGTTGAGCTTCGCCTCATTGCGACCGAGCTGTAAATCGGAGTCTGCCGGTATTAGGAAATCCAGGCTCTGAGAATATTTGTGTTTGCGAAATACGCGATGACTTTCTGAGGGGTGAAAAGACACAAGTCGTACATCAGACCAACGATCACGCGACAGAAGAGACAGAGCAACCAGCGAAGAGGAAGGCCGCTCTGGCGAAGCGCCCGGCAGGTCTCCCTTCGATCCCTTTCTCTACCACTACCTGCGGGCCTGCTTATCAGCTGCGCCTGCAGCCGCCTCACCGTCCTAGGGGAACCGCAGCCGTCCGTTGCCGTGAGCGGCGCCGAACCCTTCCTCCTGATTTCAAATCCGCCCGCCCGTTACGTCACGCGCGGCGCCGCAAGAGTGCGACGTCACAGCGGAGAGACGGCAGCCGAGGGATGTGGGAGTTGGAGGCGTCGCCGCTTCCGCCCGCTCAGCCTGTCGCGCTCTGTCTGGCCTGCTGCCGTACAACAAAGATGGCGGCGCTCGCTGGTGGCTGAGCGGCGTCGGTGAGTGAAAGAGCGAGAGAGCCTCTGCGCTGCGGAGCGCAGGGGGATCTGCACCGTGTGGAGCGAGAGATCCGCGGTCTCGGGGCTTTGCAGAGGGTTCCTGAGGGCGAGCGTGGGGTGAGAGCGGCCCGCAAGGAGTGCTTCATCGTTTTAGGCTGTTCCCTGCCTGCAACGGGTTTCTTTCCTGTTAGTGAGCGCCCAGAGGAGGGCAATAAGTGTGACGAGCTGCTGAGCTCCCTGGGTTCGTTCAGTAGAGGAGCTGACGGGAGGCCTGATGGTGGCTGCAGCTCCTCACGGAGCAGAGGGGCAGCGCCGAGCGCTGCTCTGTGTGACAGCGACAGGGCCCGAGGGAACGGCATGGAACTGCGTCAGAAGAGGGCAGCTGGGGGTTAATGACAGATGCTGCACCACGGGGCGGTGGGCATGGCCTCGAGTTTCTGAAATTCAAGGAACGTTCGGACAATGCTTTCAGACACAAGTTTTGAATTCTTGTTATGGAGCTGGGCATAGGACTCAATGATCCTTGTGGGTGTCTTCCAACTCAAGATATTCTATCATCTTACGTGGCTGGAAGACGATAAGGCTCTAAAATAGAATGGCTTGAGTTGGAAGAAATCTTAAAGCCCACCCTGGCCTTGAGCACCTCCAGGGATGGGGCACCATAGCTTCTCTGTGCAGCCTGCTCTAGTCTGATGCATCACTGTCCTCTGAATGAAGAATTCCTCCTAACATCTAACCTATATCTCCTCTCCTTTAGTTTAAGACATTCCCCCTTGCCCTATCACTAGTAGACCGTGTAAAAAGTCCATTGCTCTCCTGTTTATAACCTGCCTTCAAGTACTGTAAGGCTACAATGAGGTCTCCCTGGAGAGTTCTCCAAGCGGAATAAGCCCAATTTCCTCAACCTTTCTACTTAAGAGAGTTGCTCCAGCCCCTTGATGATCTTTGTGGTCCTCCTCTGACCTGCTCCAACAGCTCAACATCCTTCTTGTGCTGGGGGCCTGGACTTTGACACAGTACTCCAGGCAGAGTAGAGGAGGACAATCCCTTCCCCCTCTCTGCTTGCCACCCCTCTTTTGATGCAGCCCAGGACATAGTTGGCCTTCAGGGCTGCAAGAACATGCTGCTGGCTCACATCCATCTTTTTATCCACTAGGGCTCTCAAGTCCACCTCTGCAGGACTGCTCTCAATGAATTCTTCTCCCAGTCTGTATACATACCTGGGATTGCCCCAATGCATATCTGGGGTTGCCACGTCTCAGTTTACTTCACAGAAGGCCAGATTGCTCAACTTATTTTCTGTGACAAACTAGGATGTGATCGAGAAATACATGATAATGTGATGGCTTTCTTCAGAAGTGCATGAAGACTACTTGTATTTTTGCTACTGAATCCTGAGTTATGGAGTGTTACAGTATATAATTGCTAACTTTTAAAAAGAGGGTTCTTAGAACAAGTAATTCTGTGCAACATGATGTTATATAGAAAGCTATTTAAAAAAAATAAATGAGCAAACAAACAAAAAAACCCCAACAAACCTACCATAAAAGCTGAGTTAAGTTTCAGTGGTCCTAATAGTGAAACCAGTGTAAGCCAAGAATTTTCTGTGGTGTATCGATGGGCACAGGGAAATGTCTGTCACAGAACGGTGTTACTTTATGAAACAGTAGTGAGAAGTAATTCTTAAATAAGTATGTTACTCCCACAGGGGTAATTTGCTTCAGGAAGCCTATGTTATTACCTGCTATAGTTTCTGGGAGTTGATTTTTCTCCCTGAAGAGGGGACCTGTGATGTCTGTGGTACATCGGCTGACAGCAGGGTGGCTCCTGGACCATCTGTCTTTCATCAACCAGTGTGGCTATGAGATCTGTGATTCCTTTGCATACACTGGTGATGTCACTGCCAGTACTTCTGGCAGTTCTACTAACGATCATCCTACCTCTACATTTGCTACCACCTCTTCAAGTGATAGTCCCAGTGATGCTGTAGAAACAGAAGGTAAAACAGCAAGAACACGATATGTATTTCGGGAAGAGTTCTTTCACATTTCCAAGGCCCGTATAGCTGCAGCTCCTGAGGAACAGCTGTTGCAGGGAAGCCTTGAGTTGAGTTTCACAGAAATGAAGGCCAGCACCAGAGCAGAAGAACACCGAGAAGGAACCAAGTGTGGTGTCAAGGATTCTGTTTCTGTTGCTAAGAAGGTATGTTCTCCACAGTGTAGTAGCCTATGGTCATCCTTAGGTAAATAACCTGCCATTAACACTATTTCTGCTTTCTGAAGTCACATAGGAGAGCGGGTTTTCCACAAGAGATTTCAAAATGCATGGAAAATGTAAGCACTCATAATGTTATTCTGGAGTTTCTTCTGTCAGCAACTTGCATCCTATGACTCAAAAACAATTGGTTTCTTGTGAAATCTTTTGGTGGCATTGGGTTTGAGTTAAACTGTGATAGCTGTTGTGGTTGTCCAGATTAACATGGAAAGAACAGTTTAAGTTTACTTTCAATATATAGACCATACAGTACTGTTTGTTACAGTCCTAAAACAACAAACAACTGGAAAATGTTACAGGTCTAAACTAACAAATCTAACCTTTGAAGACCTACTTGTTTTTCTCCTGCTACTGCACTTGGCGGCTGAACAAACACCTTCTAGTATAGACCTAAAGGAGGCCTGAATGTGAACGGAGGCACATGCTAGGTAATGTTAGATCCCTGTGCTATGAATAATAATATAACATAGCTTTGCCACGCCATCTCCAGCAGCCTAAGTATTTTGTGATCGTATTTTTGCTTACTGGCTTTATACTTGTAATAGAAAGGAATAGATAGGAAGTTTCTTCCAGTTTTAAAAGAGTTTATTTGTAATTTAGGTATGTTTGAGTATTTATTTTTTTGTTTTATTATGGAGTAATGTTTCCTCTTTTTTTTGTTCTTACCCCTGTTTGCTCTTTCTATAGAAGCGTAAAAGAAAATGTGTGTTCAACCAAGGTGAACTGGATGCTTTAGAATACCATACTAAGGTAAGTTTGAATAGAAGATAATTTTGCAAGTATGTGATGTTTAATTTTGAACTATGTATGGAGTACAAAACACAGCTGTAAATAAGTTCTGTTCTTGTAGCTTGCTCCACTATTCCTGTTAAGACTATGCTTAAAGAAATATTTTTTCTTCCTTTACACAATAATGATTTTGTAGTAAATGTTCAGTTTATTATGTTGCAGTGTAGGGGTCCCATAGGTATTGTTCTGAATAAGCTATGGATGTGAAGCAATGACTTCAATGAGAGAACTTTGAAGTTCAACATCAAACACGGGTTTATGAGTGAAAATATTTAAGTTAACACACTATTCAGATATCTCAAGGATTGTGCTACTACAGAAAAGAACACATTCAGGGTTTTTTGGTATTTTGTAAGAGAGTGTTTAAAAACAACCAACAAACAGACATCTTGTTGAGCATTCCTTTTTCAGGAGCTTTAGAAACAATAATAAGTATTTGAAACCTGTGTTAGAAACTACAGAATCTGGCAATAAAGCTGTTCTAAATGAGCAAAAATTCACTGATAGATAAACCTCGTAAATGCTCAGCAATTTGAGAATTAGGTAGGTCTCTGTGTTCTGTATAGGGAATATTGCTGAAGAAGTGAGTGTGCGTACAGATCCAAGAATCTTGGCGTTGTTATTTGCGAAAAGTGTTGTTTTAAAAAATTGCAGAACCAGTTTTTAGTAATGTAATTTGGTTTACATGCATACGTGATATTGACTTTGAAAGCAAATTAAAACATACTGGTTTTAGATCTGGGTATATATTCAATCAAAGTTATACTTGTGGACTAAGTTAAACTTCAAGTTAAGTGTTGACATTGCCTTGAAATTTGTTTGTTTAGATCAGTAATATTCTGCCACTATCATCTGTGAAAACTTTCATTCTGCAGTCTGCCTTTCTCTAGACTTCTGACTATTGCCACTTTGCCAAAAGAAAACAAACAAAAAAAACCCCACCATACGTTAGCATGCCCCCAGTATTATGCACAAGTAGCTCTTCAGGTGATGGTTTGGGTGTTTGGCAAGGATTCTTCTCCCACCGCAGGTTGAAGATGTTTTGATTTCTGTTTCATTTCCTGATGATACTATGCGTATACTCAAAAGATTATTTCTCTCTCTTTTTGTCTTGTTTTGTTTTTCTTCTCCTCTTTATGATCATACAGATCAGAAAATTCATTTGGGAAGGCACTTTGCATTTAGTCCAAGAGGGACTCAAAAGTGGTTTTCTTCATCGTGCTGCTGCAGCACCCAGTTGTGGGAAGAATGTTGTTCCTGGACGCGTTGACTGTGGGTTGGCTGAATTATGTGAAATGGCAAAGCAATTTCCAGCTATAAATGATGGTGATCATCAAGCTGTGAATGTGCTAGGTGATGAAACCACCACTCCAGAGCGTGACCTGCTTTCATGTGTTACAGAGAACAACTCAAACTGTGCAAAGATAGTTGTATTAATGGGACAGAAGTACTTGGTGCCACCGAAGAGCAGTTTCCTTTTATCTGATATTTCATGTTTACAACCCCTGCTGAACTGTAAGTATCTTTAGTCTTCTTTAGAATAGGGATAGACTATCCCCTATCTTAAGAATCTATCCCTTCTTTCCTGCCTTAGAAGGCTGGTTAATGTCAAAATAACTAAGGACTCAGTGAACTGTTTTCTAACATAGAGCATCATGCTGATAATGCTACTGCAAGCTTTCAAAGTGGCATTTGTAACTTTGTGCAGACAGGTGAAGGTTTTCAAAGGAATCCTCAGTGGAGTTAGGAATGCATGTCATGGGGAGGCTCCAAGAGGCTCCAATAAAAATCTCAGCCGTTGCATTTTTACATGAAACACAGAATGCAGCAGTTGTTAAGCATATTCTGAGCCACGGTGGATCTAGAAGTCAAGTAAATGCATTGAATTGGAAATAAACTATAATATATAATGGTTTGGGTTGGAGGAGACACTAGAGACCATCCATTTCCAACCCCCTATTATGAGCAGGATTGCCACCCAGCAGCTCAGCTGGGCCCAGGGCCCCATGTAACCTGGCTTCCAGGGACGGGGCACCCACAGCTTCTCTGTCAGCCTGTTCAGTGCCTCACCACCCTTTGGGTAAAGAGTTTCTTCCTAATATGTAATCTAAATCACCCCTGTGTAGTTTAAAGCCATTTTTTCTGTGTCTTACCACTACACTCTCTAATCTTCATCTAATCTCCATCTTCAGCTTTCTTTTAGGCCACCTTTAGGTACTGGTAGGCTGCAAAGCCTTCTCTCCTCCATGCTTAATAACACCAGCTCCCTCCGCCTTTCTTCATAGGAGAGGTGATCCAGCTGCTAAATGAGAAGTATTTCTTGCTGGCTAGGGTCAGTCCATTGTGAAGACAACACCTCCAATGTTAATAAAGGAATAAGATGTAAAGGACATTAAATGTTAAATTGTTGTTCTCACTAGCTATTTAAACAATTAGTATCAGGCTCAATAAAGGAAGGAGTATGTTGCCTGGGAAAAATAACATTAGAGAATCCTTTTTCATAGATGTGTTCTGTATCTTCTCCCTTTAACGTAAACCCAACTTCTGTTATGAAAACTGCCTCAGTTCCCTTCCTATTGCCCACTAATTTCCATTTCTTACTCTGGTTCTGGCTCTGTCTGTTAACATGTAGTAGTGTAAAACAGTTTTCCAGGACTGGTTCATAGCTCTGCATGTACAAATTGGCCTGCTGAAAGATCAAACAGGACAGAAAACTTCAAGGATTCAAGGGTGCAGCTGTTCTCTCAGCTGAGTGCCTTATTACACAGCTTCTTTCAGGAAGCTTGGAGAAATTTTAATGTCTTGGAGACTGGCACTGTATGAGGTTTTTGTTTTAAATTCCCCAAGAGGTTTGACATTTCTTGGAGGTATTGAATCCAGCACAAGTCACAGAAACATCCTTTTCTTGGGTAATCAGCCTAGGAATCTGAGAAGTATATGATTATCTCAAGTGTTTAAACTTTTGTTTCATTATTTGGGGAAAAAAAGAAAAAAAGAACACTTGCAGTTTTGCTGCCTCGTTAGCTTTTCAAATATTGTCTGTATTTAGGTAGCTAAACCTTTATCAATTTTAACTAGTACTTTTAATTTTAACTTTTAACTTCTAAATTAATGAATTTACTGGTTTCTTTACTAATTTAGTTTTGTGTAATTTTTTTCCCAGACAAGAAAAAATACGATGTAATTGTGATCGATCCACCATGGGAGAACAAATCTGTTAAAAGGAGTAACAGGTAAACTTTATTATGAAATTACCTTGTCATCTCTGTTTACAATGGGTAATTTACATTTTAATTTACTGTTGCAATTCAAGACTGATGTAACCATAGTTGTAGCTTAAGCTAGCAAATACTTTGATGCATGCCGAAGTCTGAAAGTTCAACTCTAAAATTGTCTCAGGAATTTCAGTGAAATGACTTGGAAACTTTTAATACAAAATATTTGCAAGGCTATATCTTAAATTAAATTTGGAGAAGAGAAGGCTCTGGGGAGACCTCATTGTGGCCTTCCAATATTTGAAAGGGGGTATAAACAGGAGGTAGAACGACTGTTTACAAGAATGGATAGTGATAGGACAAAGGGGGATGGTTTTGAATTGAGACAAAGGAGATTTAAGTTAGATACTAGGAGGAATTTTTTCACACAGAGGGTGGTGAGGCACTGGAACAGGTTGCCCAAGGAGGCTGTGGATGCCCCATCCCTGGAGGCATTCAAGGCCAGGCTGGATGTGGCTCTGGGCAGCCTGGTCTGGTGGTTGACGACCCTGCACACAGCAGGGGGTTGAAACTGGATGATCATTGTGGTCCTTTTCAACCCAGGTCATTCTATGAAATTACCTCATTAATGAAAGAATGCTATTTTTCTGTACTTCTGAGAAAGGCTTGAAGCTAACTGTTTTGTATGGCCCAGATCAGACAGATGCTCATTTGAAATTAATAGTTATTATTAATACTACATAAAGATAGATAAAATATTTCTAAGGCTGAGGTCCAATTAATAAGTTTTAGGGTTTTGGGGTTTTTTTGAGCTTTATTCTGATGAATAGAATAAAGTGATAATGCAGCAGTAAAATCCTCAAGTGCAGTAGGAACTTTGTGAGTACTGTACTTTATGAAGTCATTAACTTAGAGTTTTATGGGCCTCTTTCTCCTCTGAGTAACATTAAGTTTCTGCCAGTGGAGCTCCCTTGATTACCACAGAATTGCATCCATGTGAAAGGAGGCTGAAAAGAAAATAGAGCCTTGTAACTTTCTAGAATAATATCTGCTGTAACTTCTTAAGCTTCTTATAAGATCTAATTTGTAGATAGAGATTTGTTAGTATATATATTACTTTAAAAGACCTACAGAAACCTCTAGGGAGTCAGTTAAACTCATTCAAATACACTGTTTTTTTTTTTACCAATATAAGTTTCTCCTAGGAAAATTTTAGACATGAAATTCACAGACATGAATTAGCCAACTATACCCTCCCTCCCTTGCAAAATAAAACCAGAAGGCAGCTTCAATGCTGCTGTTAGTTGCTGAGTTCATTATCTTGTGGATGGCTAAAGGAGATACGTAGTTAAAGGTTCTGCTCAGTAAAACTTAAGTAAACAGAGTAATGATTTCATATCAGAATCCAGTGGATCTGTCCACTGGGTGTCACTCTGGGCCTATTTTTTTATGACTTTCTATGCTGACAGAAGGTATTTCTTTAAACGTTTTGGCTGTGTAATTTCCTTGTTTTTGTTGCTTTGCAATTTTATTATGTGGTGTATGCTAACTTGCTTTCTCACTGTATTGGTATACAGATACAGCTACTTGTCTTCGTGGCAAATCAAGCAGATTCCTGTATCAGCACTAGCTGCTCCAGATTGTCTTGTTGTCACATGGGTGACTAACAGACAGAAGCACTTACGTTTTGTTAAGGATGAACTTTATCCACATTGGTCTGTGAAAACACTTGCTGAGTGGCACTGGGTAAAAGTAAGTTCTTTGTATTATTGCTTTCTTGGCAACTGAGGGGTCTTTCAATATGGCACTTTATAGTTCTATAAATTGTCTATCTATTTTGATGTGCTTTTGTATTTGAAAGGTATGGTGTTGTCAATATCTTCCTTTTTATCAGATGGTGTCTTGCTGGGAAAATTGGATTTGAAAATCTTCCACTGTGTATTTCTAACTCCTCTGTGTCAGATTACTAGATACGGAGAATTTGTATTGCCTTTGGATTCTTTCCACAAAAAGCCCTATGAAGTTCTTATACTGGGGAGAGTTCAAGGAAACATAAAGGAAGCCCTAAGGTATGCCAGGCTATGGTAATTTTTATTTGAGGCTGCTAGGATTCTACTTACTGGTGTGTCATCTGTCCATAATACAATATAGTGTTCCCAGGATCTCCTTTTAGCATCATCTTTGTCTGATTTTGAACCTAAAAATGGCCTCACTTACTTTAGGGAGTGCTTTAGTGAGATGAAAGGGCGGAATCTTTTTGTCTGTTCCTTATGTCTATCTGTGTTGGAGAACTGGCTCAAGTAAAAGGTGTGGGCTTCCTTTGCTGGTAGGTTCTGTTTGATCCCAAGTCTTTAGAATAAGCTGAAGCCATTTTTGGCTGCTGATGGAAACAACAACTATGTTGTTTGTTCTTGATGGCTTTGTGTGGCCATTGTTAATTGTGTTTTGTCTCAATTCTTAATTGTTTTGGAACCCCTCTTTTACAGATCATCAGGGAGCAACATTCAATTTCCCTTAGGCTTTTGTGAAGTTTGATTGTGAATAAACACTCTTACCTCCTATCTCAAGTATCAGAGAATTGTGTATGTATCATTCTGATGCTATTCATTCTCATACTTTGTTTCTTGTTCTGGTTTGTACAACAGGAAATCTGAAGATGTTCTTCCAGTTCCAGAACATAAGTTAATTGTCAGCATACCCTGCAGTCTACATTCACATAAGCCCCCCCTCACTGGTATGTTTTTGTTGATTTGTTGTGTTTCTGTGGGGTGTTTGGTTTGGGCATCTGATATGATGTTAAGCATCTGAGCCAAAATGAGATCTTTATAAATGATGCATCTTAATTTCTCATATGCTAAGCAATTGTGCCCACCAGGACCTGTGATTCCTCAACATTTCTAAAAATGCTTTTAGGCACCTAAGGTCTGAAAAAGAAAATCACTGTAAAAAGTAGAACTTTGTGGATAATTGTGTGAATATTCTGAGTAAAAATGAAGAAATTGAACTACATTTTTCTACACTTGCTTTTGAAATCCTGCAGGAACAAATTATAAATGATGTATTTATTAAGTTATCCCAAAGGATGTAAAGCTCCTGTGGTGGTGGCTGTGAACTTCTGGAACATACAAGATGAGATATCTTTTACTTACCTAATAAAAACAGAAAGAGAAAATGTTTCTATTTCTGCATTAGTTGCTTATACACCTGCAGTGCAGTTCTGCCTTTAAATCTATAATGTGAATCATTTAAAAACTGTTAACAGTAGGCAACAAAGAAGGCATACCCTGTTTATTTCCAGGGGGCTGCATTAATTTGCTGAAATTGATGCAGTAGCTTCCAGCTAGCCAGTTAGCATTTGGATGAATCATTTAAACTTTTCAAGATTTAGTTCAAAAGATTAGAAGACTTCTGCATCATGTGCAGATTTTGCACATTATTCCAGAGAAAAACTTCCTTTTGTCAATAGATTCTTTCATTATTATAGCACTCGAGTGCCTTACTATTATATGGCAAGAAACTTACTTACTTCCTCTTGCAAAAATAGTTTCATCCTTCCCGAGGGGAAAACTCACGATGTACCTATAGATATTACTGGTAAACGTGGTTCAGTGTAATCACATCAGAAAACTCAGGCAGAAGAAATGCATGCTGCTATTGGAAAGGCATCACTGGCCTGTTCCCTCCATTGTGCTGACGTGCTTTCTTTTCTTGGTTCCCAAGGAACAGAATTACTTCAGTTAGGATGCTCATCTGAATGATGGTTGCGCTTCCAGGAAGGCTTTGAAATTTATGTTTGGGGATTGTATTTGTTATTAAATCAAAACATACTTTATATATATGTGTGTGTGTATGTTAAAAAATTAGTAGTTGAGGTAATTTGGGCTAGCTTTACTTGAAAAGAGCAATTCTAGGAAGCATCTGTTTGCAATTCTGAAGCTACATCCTTAAAAATTATGACTACAGCAGGAAGTATGTGTGTTGATTTAAGCTAATGGGTGGCAGAGCAGTGATTTGTGAGGCAGCCACCTAGGGAAAACCTTTTCAGAAAACCAATACTTCAGCAGCACACTCAGACATGATCAGAAAACGTCTGATATATCCAGGGCTGAAAAGCAGCAGTTTGTGTACACATTGTAGAGAATTCTAGCATCAGATGGTCCTCAGAGCTCTTCTTTTCTGTGGTGCAGAATCTAGAAACTGTATTGTCTTTATAATTGATGATCCTGAATGGGTTTTGAAAGAAATTGTCTACCAATTTTTATGTATTTCTTGAATCTTTACATGATTGATTTTGATACCATTGTGCTGTATTCATGTTTCTATTTGAGGAATAAATTTGCTATCAACCAAAATCAGTGGTTTATACAGTTCCTATAAAACTACGTGTGTATGTACAGTGTTGGCAGCTTCATTCAGAACAGGCTTATGGAATGAAAAGGTAGACTAGTGGCTGTTGATTTGTCTTCAATATTCTTAAAGGGTATTGCTTTCATGATCAGGCAGTATTCTCAAGTGGCCAGTAGAGAGCAGTTGAGCTACATGCTAAAATAGTTTAGAAGCAATTTAAGCAGAAGCAGAGATTTGGCAATGGGGGAGAAGGACACTTGATGAGTCACACGCGTTCTTTATGCTTTGTTTAAGAAGTAACAAAGCCAAAAATACTATTATTTACTGATGCTGTCTGGCACTTTATTTCTAGTTACTACTGTAAAGGCTGTACGTTCCTACATATGTAGCCACTTAATGACTTATTATAACAGTTTCTCTCTCTGGGGGAAGAGGAAGATGTAAATTAAAGTAAGCCATCAAAAAAGAGATGTTTGGGTTCCTGCAGTGCATTTAACTATGAAATTGTGACTGTAGGGGTTTTGGGTGATGCATGTGCTGTGTTCAGTTCTTAGAGCTTTCATATATAATTGTAAGTGTACTTAAACAGCTTTATGCAAATGTGTTAAAATGAAATTTTATCACTCTTGGTTTTGATTCAAATAACAGCGGGTTTTCTTTCTAATTCTATTCACTACTGCTCTTTAAGACTTAAATGATACTTTGCATAGAGATGATATAAAAGAAGGTTGGACTTTTTTTCCTTTTTCTGTTTTAGAGATTCTTCTTGTTATAGGCATTTCTCCTCTAGTATGTAGCATGTACATTTACTGTTAAAAAACTTTATTGCCAAATAGGAGTATGCCTAAAAACATTAGCATTAATTATTGGCTGTGTTCTAGCTGCTTTGCAGATCTTCAGCAGAAGCACGCAGAGGAAAATCTTGGAAACTTACTTCTTCTGTAGCAACTCTATGACTTGTGAGGCTATTAGGAAAGTGGAAATAGAAACAGACAGCATTTACTTCTACCCTCTTCTGGTAGACTAATCAATGGGTACATCAAAATCTAGCTTAAACAGACAGTTTAGGAAAGATACAGAGATATTAAGCCATCTTTGCCTTAAGTTTCTCATCCTCTTTCTGGTCTTTTTCTAGACAAATCAGGCAATAAGGGCCTCTGCTTTGCAAAATTTTGAAGGCTTACGATGAAATGAGTTCAATTATGCGTGGGCTGTGCTGTGTATGGCTCACAAATCAGACAGTAAAAAGCCAGTAAAATCATTTTCACCTTATTTATCCAATTTGCTGTGCAGAATTTATTGCTTAGGTAATGGAAGTTGAAAAGAGAAGGGGAAGCTGTTGCTTGTTTCAAAAATGGTTCCTTCTTTTTCTCATGTAAATGATTTTACAGCATGCATCTTGGATAATGTGTGCCATCAAGAATAAAACCAGTGTTATACCTACAAGCTGGCTTTGTGCTAGCTTTGTGGGCATTAGATGGCCACATATAGATACCTGAGTTGCACCTGCAGTGTTTGACATCTGCAGATAATGAAGAATAATCTATTTATTGTCTATTTAAGCTGCTTTTTGTCAGCTATAAGCACAGAGAAGTAATTGTTAAAAATTAAAAAATATCTGTCCCTACTGTAGAAAAATGAACATTTAGTTTTTCTACTGATGTAGATCCTCTAATCTGTTTTCAGGAAGAACTTGAGTTTGCTGAAGGGATGGAAGTTAGATCCATATGTGCTGAGTTAGTCTTTTGGTGGTATAAAGGCCGTAAAAGACTAACAAAGAGGTTATAATTCATACCAGAAGATGTGAAAACTTGGTGCTCAAGGGAACCAGTGTAATAAGATCTTATGCCAGCAAAATACAGCCATATTATTGCCCTCTTGATATGCTAATTTCCCTTGCAGTGAAGACTACTGCTTGATGTGATTATGTAAACGCCACATCCAAGCAATGAAGAATCATACTATAATGTAATCTTGTATTATATGTAATCTGTCTCTGTAATTTGTTTTTTCAAAACCACTTTGTACAGAAAGACCTTCTCTTGGGGAATGTGAGTGAGGAAGATTCTTGAGACTTCCAGTTTAAATTCTATGACCAAGTTGTTCAAAAGATTGGCACAGTCTTCTGGATCCTTTGGAATTGGCCATTTTTTGGCTACCTCTTTTTTTAAAATTTTTTTTTTTTATTTTTTTTGCTTCTGGCAAACCAGTCTGCTGTGAGTCTTAGCTGAATCAACTAAGTATGCTTTTCAAATTTTTCTCTTAGGCATGGAAGTTTTTGGTGTTTAGTGGTACCTGCTTCTGACTTACTGGCCTAAGTGCTGTGATGACGTTTGTAATCTGTGCCTTTTAAGAACAAATTTCAAAACTTGTTATGTGCTATTAGTGAAGTTTTGTCACCTAGATCATTCTTTCCTCTGCTTAGCATAAAGCAGTTCTATTTTATTTTTATCTGAAGAAGAAAAAATAATCATATAATGCCTGGACTCTGCAGTAAGCTCTGCGGGATCTTATGCACCTTTGGGTCAAAATAATAATATCCTACAGCTGTTAGATTTGCTCCCAGAGAGTTTACCAAAAGCTTTGGATTTGCATTCCACAGTCTCTCCCTTCTCTTCCATGGAAAAAGTACATCCTTCTGCACCATGGGCCTTCTTAGATAATGGGAAGAATAGATTTTTGGAAGACCTTTGTTAAAATGTTGGCAGCAGATTGTGCATAAGAAATCCTTAATGAAATAGAGCGTGGAAAAAGAATAATACGTTTTACCACATAATTAAAAGAAAATTTTGCAAAATGATACAAAAGCAGCTTCTCTGAAGTGGTGTGACACTAAACAGCAGTATTCAGAGCAAGAAGTTTTCTATCAGAATGTACATGTTTTCAGACTCTTCTCCTCAGAAGTTAATTTGTATAAGGATTTTAGCTTCCCTGTAAAAGGAATAGGCTTTTAGATTAGGATTCCTGCTGGTAGCTGTCTTTTTATAGATTGAAAGTTACTTTGATGATAATCTATATGAAATACTCTTTTCACATTTGTTAAAGATTGGAAGAATGAAAACAACTTTATAGGCTGTACCAAAATATAAGAATGTTGGAAAATGCCCGTTACAAAATATTTAAGGAAGTTTTGAATGGATTGAAGCTTAGGATTGTATAGGTAGAGAATGCATTTGGGATTCATGAACGCTGATTAGAATGTGAGGTGGATATTTATCTTTCTGCAGCAGGACCAATCCATGACAAGAGCATCCGAGGATTCACACAGGGAGTCTGTGACTGGCAGACTTGATACAAAAAGTCAGAACTTGGTTTGAACCCAAAAAAGCATTCTCTCTCATGCTTTGATGTATGCTACTTGGATACATTTCTGCTTTCTGATATGAATCATGTCTGAAGAGATCAAATCAAACAATACAGAGTTTATGAACTGTACTTTTAAGCTACGGAAATTCAGAAACTTCAAGAAGGAACAGGAGTGAGCGAGATATACTTTGGATAAAGAAATAGTTTATTAGCTTTTGTTCTTTCATCCTCAGTCATAAAAATGCAAACTTAAGATGTAGTTTTATTATAAATCTTTTTTTCAGTCTTTTTGCCTCCTTTGTATCCTTTGCATTCCTTTAGCCTTTGCTTTTCCTTTGGACATTTTTGCATGTACTATTTTGTGGCTATTTCCTGAAACCTAGTTAGAATTTCTTTGACCCATCCACAAACTAAATGGCTCTGTATAACAAGTGACACATTTAGTAATTAAGTGTTTGCAATAGAATTTCTCAAGTGAAATGCTATAACCAATGTCTTTTTCTGCCACTTGGAGAATAATCATAATCATTGACACAGTTGATGTTAGGGACAGGCATCTGTTTAGATACAGGCAGCAAATAAACACAGTGAATTTGAGATTTATATTACTGAATGACAGAAGGCAGTTATATACAGGTTTCTTTTGTTGATAAATTGCTATTTGGGGAGAAAAAGATGTCCCTCCATTTTTATAGCCCTTCTAATGTCTGCTTATTTAAACTGGTGTTTCTTTTACAACAATTTTCATCAAAAATTGGTTTTATCCCCTTTAAGATGCAGAGCAAAAGAGCATGATCTTAGTCAAGTCTGTCTGTTTATTTATAGAAATGTTGCCCTCGTGATGCAGGAACCAATTGAGCCTTTAGGAAGTGTTTTGTGGATATTTCCAAAAAATTTAAAACTTTCTCATGTAGATAATGGAATAAATCCTCATTCTCTTTCTCTAAATGAAAACCAATAAATCAAGGCCGTTAAAAGCCTTGACAGTATTGTTTAGGATCTCAAGGGCACTCATTTTAAATGACTTTCTCGCTACAAATGGTCAGTTGTTTGATTAAATCCTTAGAATTAATTTATTGTCTCTTTTATTTTTTCAATGAAACATTCCATCTCTCATTTGCTAACAGCACTGGGGAGATTTTATTTATTTTTGTGTTTATTATTACTGTTGTTGTTTGTACCTTTGTCATTGTTATCCTCATCTTTTTTTTTTTTGTTTTTCTTATCTTGCACAGCGGTTCTGGCAGAGTTTATCAAGCCAGATGTGGAGTGCTTGGAGCTGTTTGCTCGCAACCTGCAGCCTGGCTGGACCAGCTGGGGAAATGAGGTTCTGAAGTTTCAGCACATTGACTATTTCACTCTTCTGCAGAATGAAAACTAACTTTGTTCTTGTAGCTTAATTCTGAAATTCATCCTTCTTAGCAAGCTCTGGAGCTTGCTTCTGGTTGGTGCACTCAGAAATGAAACCAACTGCACTTCAGTTGCAATTCTTGCAGTGACAGAATATCTGTTTGATAGCATCTGTATCTATACAAGCTGCTCCTCTTCTTTGAAGATCTTGGAATAGTTAAAGACTCATGTTAGCGGGCAAGTACATCCCTGTTTCTTTTTTTTTTCCTTTTTTTTTAAAAAAAAAACTTCAGGAAAAGAAAGATATTCTCATTAAGGCTATCATAAATGTAAGCATCATAAGTACTCCATAACACTTATAATGAGTTATTTTTACAGTGATCATGTATTATTTTTAAAGACAGGCAAGCAAACTAATAGGTTCACATTACAAATATTTCCTGAAAGACGATTGGTCTTTGCAAAACAGTGGATTTGAAACTGAAATAATTATGAAGACAGTGTTTTCTCCTGCATATTTGCATCTGCCTGTCTACCTTGTAAGTCTGTGAGTTGTAAATGGACACATTCTTCTAAAACATTCAACAATTACATCTTTCTGTGGATAGTGTTAATTCTCAGAATGCGCTGTAAATGATAAAGTCTCAACCATCTCACAATTTCTAGATACTAAGCTGTTAGATTTAACTAAACTAACTGAAATGACTTAACTGAAATTTTAACAAAATTTAAGTATGTTATAAATTTTCTCTTCTTACATTCTTGAAAGAGTAAAAAGTGCATTATATTTTTCAGCTTAACTAAAGATCATATTTCCTTAGTAATAGTGTATTTTTGTGTCCTTTGCTGCACATTAACTTGCTTTGAAAAGGAAAAATTAAAAAGTAGAGCTTCATTAAGTCTCTTTCCTCATTTGTGGCTGGACAGGCAGAGCAGCTGGACAATCTGCTTTTCCTGACAGCAAACTCCTGTGTTCTGTTTATAATGGGGAGCAAAATGCACTACACCCTTCTTTTTGTATTTTTACGTTTATTACACTTTTTGTAATCTTTGCTGTTATGGTTTTAAATTTAAACTTCAAATGTCAATTGATTTTTTTTTTTTTTTTAAATTTTATAATAAAAGTTAAAATAAAAACTTGTCAGTGTGTTATTAGCAGGCCCAATTTCTGTATTACCACTGTTTTTTGGTTTTTTTTTAAACTATTGTATCAATAGAATTGACAAAAAAAGAAACACACACACATATATATATTTGTTTGTGTATATATATGTGTGTGTGTTTGTGTGTGTGTGTAACTAACTTAAACAGACATTCGCCTCTTCTCCCAGGCAAGGAGCAGGACATGGGGCAATGGCCGCAAGTTGTATCAGAGGAGGTTTAGATTAGACATAAGGAAGAACTTTTTCTCTCAGAGAGTGGTCAGGCACTGCAATGGCTGCCCAGGGAGGTGGTGGAGTCGCCGTCCCTGGCAGTGTTCAAGCGGCATCTGGACGACGTGCTGCGTGATGTGATTTAGTGCTTGTGGTGGCAATGGTGATGAGGAGACGGTTGGACTGGATGATCTTATAGGTCATTTCAACCTTGTGATTCTATGATTCTATGATTCTGTGTTTACTTATGTTTAAGTAAACAGTGTGTTAGTGAAGGTAGATGCCTGGAAGAGCACTCCTTGCTGCATGATTTTCGATTTTAAACTGTCAGTATATAAGCACCTTACTTTAAAACTATAGGGGGTAGGAAGGTTCCTTACTTGATTTCCATTTTATAAGACATTACCTGGGAACTCAGAAACTCCAGGTGGGAAGAATTCCCCTCCCTTAACGTAAGGTTTGTCTCATCAAGAATCAAATGAGTGCATGACCCTTAAATACAGAACAAATCTTGTTTGTATGTTTTGTTTTTCCATTGTACTCCGTAAAGCCACGCAAGAAATTGCAGTAGTGTCTGTTCTACAACCACTACTATGAATGGCTCCAGACTACCTTTTAATTGCAAATAAAAGACACTGGCTGAACAGTCTTGGAGATGAGTAAGCTACCTTTCTTCCCCTGTGAGCCAAGCAGCAGAACTCTTCTAAAGGAATGACCTTCTTCAAGCCTGTTAAGAATGGATGACCTATTTAATCTGTCTTTCTTGAGGTATCCCTTTATAAGTTGCAGACTTCTGGCCCTTTTGCTATCTTCTTTGCAATCTTCTAAGAGTTTAGTACATCTTGTTGGTTTGTTGCCAGCTCAGAAACCTCATGATAGTATTAGCAGCTATTAATTTTGAGGTCATCTTTTAAGCATAATTATTGATCTGTTGTGCTTAATTCATAACTGAAATAGTCTTTGTTTCTAGATGTTTTAAAAAAAAACGTAGCTGTCCTCAGTCAAACATCAGATCTTTCAGTGTCGGTGGTAAGGTTCCTCTGAGGCACAATACAAAGCACACCGATGAATCAGTGAAGAGTGGTCTGCTAATATAAAAGGACAATTTAAGACCAAATCAAATTTCTTTTATAAAAGAATGATGTTATCCATATTAATGGCTTTATATTACTTTCATAGTTGAAATCTGTCCTCTCTTGTGTCAAGCGTTGTATAAAAAAGGAAACCTGCTTCTGTAAAGGGGATACAGACTTGTTAAAAATGATGAAAGAGCAAGAGAGAAGGACAAAGGAATACAAGGTAGTGATGAGGTGCTGAAGTGAATTTGCTAAGTTGCGGCCCGGGTATTATGCACATCTTCAATACTTCTATGAAATCACAGGTTTCCTACCTTCAAAAAATAGAATAAAATATATATAAAGCCTATTCTACCCTGGTACGTTAAATTTCACACATTCCAAGGAAAAATAGGTGAAGTGTTACGCGTTTGACTTATGACATAGAATAGAAAAAAAAAATCTTTCTGTCTAAGTTCTCTCTGCTATGACAGTTTGGTGAAATGAGAACTGTAACTGCTCAAGAGTATACATGGAAGTACTTTATTTGGTATATCTGCTGTTATTTTAGCAGGGCAATAATAGAAAAGGTTCTTTGGCAAGGTGTTCTACTCAAGGCCTTTTACACTTATATCTTATTGCAAAAAGCTCAGTTCATAAAAGGATAGTAAGCAATGTTGATGTCGAATACATCAGTTGTCATAATCAAACTTTCTTTTATGAAGCTTCAGGTTTGGAGTACAATTTTGAAATATCAAATTAGCATATGACCTTTACTTGTATTTTTAAACTTTTCTGAAGTAAAAAGAATTATACCAGTAAGATATGTTTTTGGAATAGCGGTTGCTACGTGTGAAGTCCTCTAGAAACAGGAGTTGCTTTTGCAAAATCAAGCATTATTAAAAAGGAAGTGAATTGTTCTTTGTCATGTTCAGCTCAGGTAGGTGTCAGTAGCAGTAAAGAGTAGTCTTTGAAAAGTGATTTCTAAGCCATGGACAATTATGAAATAACAGGAGGGAAATGCTACTAGGCCTTGAGAATTGTGTTCGTTAATCTCTGCATACTATTCAAGATTTACCTACTGCTTCTTTTGGGTTGAACATAACATTAGGTGAAGGAAAGGTTGCTAAGTGAACAGCCAAGGGATCAGGTTTGTCTGAGTTGCTGAAAGGATTCTTGTGATGTACCTGATGGTGGGTAATTTCTGAATGGTCTGACCGTGTGCTGGAGCTTGTTGGATTTAAACACTTAGTAGTAACTTAGTTTTGTTACCTCACTGGCATCATTCAGCTGTCCTTGTGTAGCCGTTCAGAAGGCTTGGCCATAAAGTGGTGCACTTTGGGAAAACCCATACATCTTTTTTATCAATATATTTCTCTGCATGCACAGACCCAAGGAAGTTTTCTAAAGTTTATTTACTGAAATACAGAATTTCAAAAGGTGGATTGTCTGTGGCCCTCAAAAGCTTACCTCCAGAATTCCTGGTATTGTAACAGATTTGACCCTGCACGTGGGATAGTTTGTGGCACCGTAGTTAAAAGTGCGTGTGCTTTTGCAGGCTCAGTGCCTTACAGTGTGAATTCCTTTGATTGCAGACTCTTAAGCTGCGATCTACACACTTCCCTTCCTTCCTCCCTTCCTTCCTCCCTTCCTCCCTTCCTCTATCTATCTATCTATCTATCTATCTATCTATCTATCTATCTATCTATCTATCTATTTATTTATTTTTCCAACAGCAGTGTGAGCTGAAGCTGCTTTTATATCCAGATCTCGCAAATAAAGAAGCCTTTTCTTTCCAGCAGGTAATTTTTCAGCCACATCATTTTTTTTTTGAGTTGATTTTATACCTGTCCTCACAAACAGTCCTATGTACCAGAGGGCAGTATGTGAGTGAAAGAAGTTTGAGATGAAGGGAAAAATGAGGGGCTGCTTAGTAAATGTGAGCAACAGTGTCACTGCATGTTGAATGGCAGCCAGCATTGGGTACCTAGGCATCTTGGAATACCTAGAGCATCTGAAGTACCATGTGGCTACACATTGGTATTTGCGGTTGGAAATGCAATTTTGGCAATAGCAGAACTGGCTGCTGTCATAAGGACATGAAAATGTGCAAGACAGGTGAGAGAGGGTTGTTAATTCTGTGTTAATCTTTATGTTGCCTAACTTGTAGAGAGGACAGAAAAGGATCAGTAGGAAGTAAGATAAATTGAACAATAGTAATATAGCAGATTGTTTTCCACTACATACTTGATAGTGGAAGAACAGAATGAGGCCTTATTTGATGATGCTAAAGAAAATGATAGGCCTACCTCTGACTGTAGGTGACTTATTTCGGCTGAGCCTAGGGAGACAAGAGCCTAGTTTAAGACATTAACAAAACGCTGTGAAATCAAATATTTTAGTGAGAATTTTTGTTCCCTCTGATGTTAAGTGTCATAGAATTATAGCTTGGGTTGGAAGGGACTTTGAAGATAATCTAGTTTCAACCCCATGCCTCAGGCATGGTAGCTAACCACTAAGTCTGGCACCAGAGCAGGCTGCCCGGGGCCTTATACAACCTGGCCTTGAACACCTCCAGGATGGGACATAGCATGTAGTCCTATGTCTTCTTTTTTTCTACAGCCAGTCAGTAATTTTTTGTTAAAATGAAATACTTATCGCAATCATTGCTTATCTCCAGCTGGAATCTTGGGCACCCTTATTCAGTTTTCCGTTTTGTTTATAAAAACTGAACATCTCCTGGGGGAATAGGGTGGTCAAGTATTCTGATTATGACTTTAATGGTGCCCCTCTATCCATCTTATATTGACCATTGTGGAGCTGACAGTCCCGTAAACACCCAGGCCTGGTGTGATGTTCTTCACCCTGGCCTGTTACAGAACTGCTCCTTTTCCCATTCTCTTTCCCTCTTGAAAGAGCATTGACACTAATTAGTGTGTAAGAAAATGAGGGAATGTAAGGAGAAAACAGCTGGTTAAGTGGAAACTGATACCCAAACAGTGAAATAATGGAGAGCTAATTGCACAATTTTATATTCGGTTCTACAGCTAATGTCGCTGCACTGCTTGTGTCTCTGTAAGGCGCTGCTGTTGACCGTATCATAAAGAAATCTGAGTCTTTGTAAGATGTGCAGATCCAACTTTCAGCCCTTTCAGAGATGGTAGCATTTTCAACACAAAAGTCTGAGCATAGTTCCTATGGCTAGCATCATTTGCACAATAGATGTTACATACTGCTGGTGAAAGGTCAGTTGCAGAATGTACAAAATCTGAACTTGATTCCCAATGTTTTTTCCTGTAATACTTTTTTTCTTAATCAAAAAAGATTATTTTGCTCAAAGAGGGATCCACATAAACATTTGTGTTTTTCATGCAAATTGCAAGATAAGATTTGCAAAGAGAAAGGTGGCATAGTTTTCTCGTATACCCACAGGACAGGCACAGTATTATACGTATGCTAGAAACTGGAAGACTTGCTAATAATGTCATATGCTAAAAATAAGCAATATAGGTCTTGATTTTTACAGTGCCATTAACTGAAGTCTGTAGCTAAATTTTATTGTTTTACTCAACAGTATAGTCGTGTAACAGTTACATGTTAATTCAGGAAGCAGCTCATTGGAAATATTTTTATGACCCCATTTCTCTCCTCAAAC